GTTGCAAAACATTTAAAGAAGCCATTTCAATGTTTTTGACAGAAGTCTCTCACGATCATTTATTTGAAATATTTGTTTAACAATGCAAGACCCCAACATTTTGAATGGTAGTCTATGTATTCATTGTTTTTATTATGAGCCAATTATAGTTTCTATAGCGTGCAACTCTCTTCATGAAGGTTTTGCTATTCTTTTCAATATAGACATCTTTAGCCTCTGTTGTGAGGGTGGGGAAGGAGTGGCTGCCTCTGTAAAACCACACTTCTCTCCACCCACCCACACACAGGCTATAAACCCTCTCACATAAACATCTGCTGAACCTAGCAAACACAACTAAATATTATGAAACCTAAGATTAGCACTCCCTCTCTCCTTCCACTATCTTCTTTTCCCACCGACAAATGACATTCATTTCCTAATTCAAGGCCAAATCAACCGTAATCCCCCGTGAGGGAACGCTCCTCCTACCCCTGATTGATTCTGAGTGTATCAAGCATGGGAAAATTCATGGAAGTCCTGACCCAGGCCAACCCTCCGTTTAATAGCAATTGGTTTCTCAACGGAGCGTTAACTGTTAGTGCCAGAGTTTCTGCTCGCTTTGACGTATCGATCTGATCCTGCCCACTCTCATCACACATTTTCATCTTTCTATTTCTTTTAAATTTAAAGGCACTCTTGAGTAAGTTTCAGGTTTTTTTGGCTCTCATTTAGTGAGGCGTTTAGAATATTTTGAACTATAGCAGAGCGGTTTTGGTGTCTATAAAAAACCATTAATTTCTAAGTAAAATACTAATAATGCTGTAGTGCACCACCCTGTTCTGTCTGTAAATGCATGATTTATCATCTGACTGAGGGTGTGCATTATGAGTTATGATATTTGCTTTCCATGAATATTGATGAATGGCCATTGGTCAATATCTTTCTGACTAATAACAGAGAGAGAACTCACTACGCAGCGGAGTCATTGAGCTGGTATTCTCTGGCCCGGGTGAAGCAGCTCTGTACCCCTCCATCAGCCCACAGTCTGGTGATGACATTGGCCAGGTCGTCTGGCAGGATGCCCTGTTCCTCTGCCGCCCCGGACAGGGAAAACAACAGACGTGCATCATCCTATAAAACAAACGAATAAACAGATCCAATCAAAAATAATGCACATTAACACACAGAATACAGAAACTAACATATTTATATACATCATATGCAAAAGAATTAGGAGTCACAAAGTCCAACCAAATTCATAAACTGTGAATAATCTGCAATGTGAACATATTACCTCACAGCAGCTCGAAATTGACTCAGCAGAACTCACTACAATTTAATCACAACAACGTTTTTACTTTTTTTTTTACCCATGTGTCCACTAGCCCATGTGAAGAACAGTTTTTTA